GTTTGTCTTGACACTGAAAAAAGCGTTTGTCATTGAAACATATCCCGCTGAAAGCCCTGAAACCGCACTTGTATTTGTTGGAAATGGATGTGTTCGTATGAGAACATTTGTGATTCTATATTTGTAGATGACACCACTGTAGAGACGTACAATCACTCAAATATCTGTATTAGCAATTTTATCAAAATTATGAGATGCAACTTCAACTAGTTCAGCTCCTTTTAGAGCCCACCAATTGCTACAACCCAGCTATACATCATATCAATATCTGCTACCCACCGCTACCAGAATGGATCTCACACCGGTGAGAAAACCCTTGCAACACGATGACCTGAGTCAATTGCTAAAACGAATTCTGAACGGATGAAGAACCCCGATTACCAACCATCACGACGCAGAGGAGATACACCATGTCCTACAAAGAGTGAAGATGGGGAACGTCACTGGTGGGAAACTCTTCTTAGACGGTCACCAACAGCAACTGGAATTTTGAGCTTCATGCTGCATCCCACTGTAGTTTTCCTAGTTTTGACCTCATTACGTTTATTGTTTATAATCATTCTGTGTATCAAAGTTTCGCGAAAAATCAAACAAATTATGTCAATCCAACATGTCAAACATATACAACCAACCGATTCTGTATGTGAAATGGTACACAACCACCATTAATTGCGACACAAACCAAACAGCTCGTCAGATAATTGGACTCTTGCCACTCATCTGCAATACGCCACAGATTTACGACCTAGCGACAACAGGTAACCATACCAGCACTCTGAGTCAGCAGAGGGACCGACAGCAGTCACAGGGTGCAGCGCGACAGATGCACTCGTCCTCAGTCAAACTGGTGGCAGCTTGCTGCAGGCTCCAGAGGAGGTACAGGCCTGAGCCACGGCCGGGCTCAGAACTCCTCTAGTTTCAGTCCGCTCTCTGAAAACCCACAACGGACGAGTCACCCATGCACGAGCTTGGAACACCCATCACACCATTAACTCACCAACAGCGGGTGGCTTTTCCAAGACTCATTCATCAAAGAACAAAGAAAGTTGTGGGTACAAGGAGTCTCCCCTATACCCTCCCCACCACATGGAATTTGACTATAAGCCAGCCACGCGACCCCGTAAATGACTGCCTACGTGAGCCTTCTTCGAGCTCTCCCTGCTAGGCACCATGGCTGCATGGCAGTGACCTCCCCTTGAGCTGGGACGCCCCTCGAGGTTGCCCCTCGAGGCTGAGCGATCTTTCACCAACGGCAGATCCTTGGAAAGGGACTGACAGCATGCTGAATTAATACTAGCGAAACATTACTAATCCGTGTAGCTACTCAGTATTTCTTACTATAAACTTTGTATAGGTAATTCCATTAGACATAAACCATTGTCTGAGTCCGAGACTACCATCGGACCTAGCAGCACCTAGGCTCCATGTGGAGTTTCGAAAGCAAGGGGGTCCACTCTGAACCTCATGACTCAGCAGCAGAGTCCTCTTTAGCCTTCTGCATCCCTGGGCACTATGTGAATGATTCTAATTTCATTCTAACTCAATTCTCCTTTGTATGTTTTTCTCCGCACAGTGATTAGTAAGGTGAACCTGGCCATCAAACTTATTGATCCTTGGTAAAACACTGTTAAATTTTGATAAATTCAACTGAATTTATTGGACTCTGCTAAATTATTATTTTTACCTCAATAAAACATCTTGCTGCTTCTCTCTTGATTGAGGTGCACTCCACTGTTTTGTGACACAGGAGAATGTCACAGGTGCAGCACCCATCTGTTATTCCCTTCCACCACAGCCCTCCCAAACCTACCTGCAACTCCACTACTAGCCCGCTGCTACATGGGCAAAACACATTTCCACCTGAAAACCGTATAGCAGTTACCTATTTTCCTCTATGTAGTTTGCACTGTACAGCTGACAGCACTTGTCCTAATTCACCTGCTCTTACAAACTGTTCAGGAGGCTACACCTTAAGGTCTCCACACTGGTGGAAGGGGCATCCTGGCTTCACGCTTGTCTCCTGGCATGGAAGCCTCATACACACACTTCCAGATGCTGCTGTGCTGTGCTCGTTGGAGCAGCTTCCTACCCACACCACTCACATCTTGTGAGAGGTTAAGCAGAGGGATGGGCCAGCGGCCCCTCTCTCATCAACACTGCCAAGTGCTCTGCAGCAGCCCTGGGAGGCTCTTTGTTGAAACAGGAACAAAAATTCGGGTCAGATCACACATCCTAGGTCCTAACATAGCACATACATTAGGATTTGGGAATCAAATGTACAAGCTCCTCACTAAAACAATACCCAACACAAAACACCACAGTTTACCAATTAAGAATATTTATATACAAGATCTGGAAAACAATCATTTCCATACTCCAGGAACAGTTAAAATCTATATTCTCATCAAACTACAGCACCTGCATTTCAACACCACGTGAGGAAAAAAAGACCAAAATTATTTTATTGAATAAGCATTAATTGAAACAAAGACTTTACTAAGACTTAACCAACAAAAACCTATTTATTTATTCCAAACACCAAGATACAGAAGATTTCAAGTTTTGCAAATATTGCTCCAAAGCAAAATTCTATATACAGCGCCCTCGGTTCTAATAGTGCATAAACACAAATATACTCATGTATCCACAGTGCAATGTTTGCTCATTTCATGAAGGCTCCATGTTGCATTCACTTACCAGTGATTTAAAGAAATAAAAAAGTGACCTGCCAGACTGAACAGTTGGTCCAGACTAAGAAACAACAATGTGGAAACTTGCAAAAAGGGACAAAAATGAATCCAGGTAGAGCACAATAAAGAATCTTTCCTGAACATGAGAAATGCTACTCTATTTTAAATAAATATTTTCAGTCTTTATCTGCAAGGGCTTCCCTAGCTCTGCTAAAAGAAAACAAGTCTCCAGTATTCGTCATTTGATTCATCCATAGGAACCACCTTTTCTTTCGAATCTTAAGTACTGCCCTGAGCAAAAATAAACTGGCAAAGTAAAAACATACAATGGACACACACAAAGCAACTCCTTGGGAAGGAGAAGTTCCACTCTGCAGTGAAAGGTCTGCTCAGGAACTTAACCGCTTTCACACCCTCGGGCTGTAAGCTCAGCTGACTTGCTGACAAGGCAGCCAGGCTCTTCTCCAGACGCCCGGTCTGAGTGCTGGCTTTACAGATTCCCACCTCTCTGGTCCATCTCACCTGAAAAACCCGAACACCTTCACAGCTGTCTGGGGGGCTCCTCCTGATGCCGTCCTGCTTGTCTGGTTACGGCCGCCTGTCCTGCAGCTACAGAGCACGCAGCAATTCCAGTGTCACTAACAGGAATGAGACACGGTATAAGCACTGCTCGCACTTTCAGAGAACCAAGTGATTCTTAAATATCACGTAAGCTTTATTCCAACTGCGTTACAGAAAAATAAGTTTATTTTTCTGCTGTACAGATGTTGTATTCACTATATACCACCTAGTACTATAAAACTGTGAGACAAATTATTCCCTGAAATGAGTCTTGGCACAACAGCCTTGGTTACTACCTAGAGCAGCCCAATTACTTTGTTTTCTGAAGGAAATAAAATATTCACTGTGTGGATACCATTAACCCCTACAACAATATTGGGTATTTCAAGTTTACGTTATTCTTTGCAGTATACAAACATTACAGCTTTATATCCAAAATCAGTAATTTGTAGAGTTATGGGCCTTTCAATTAATTACAACTGTGCTTACACTTTACCCTTTGGTGGTACCATCACTCCCAATAAAACCAAGGTACCAAACCCAGCTTCTTAAGGACACCCTCTCACTGCAAAAACAGCTTACCATCTTCCACAGCGAGCTTAACTCCGCAACGTTTGGGAAGGAAAACGAAAGCCACAGCCATTGTTTATGGAACTCTGATCTGCAGCTGAAAGACTTTTAATGTCTCAAATACTTACAACACACCAATGTCTCAAAAGGTACTGTATAATGTGACTTGAACATAAGCAGCATTTTCACCTTGCTCTCACAAAGTAATACAAACCAGAAAAGTAGAACTTAAGGTATAAAAAGGGACTTTGTGAACATACATCGTTTAGGCTAACAACCCACCTGCTGTCTGCAAGGACAGCACCTCATGCATAGATCTTGAGGCTTTATTTACACAAATATAAAATAAACTGATTCCCCAAACCACACATTCATAGAGTAAGTCTTTACAGTGAACACGTTCAGAGTCTTGAAAAAACCCTACAGTTCAAAATATAACCGGAATGGCAATTATTAACAAATGGGTAGAAAACTACATAAGGTCCATTACAGACCTGGCGGAAGCCTGGAACTCCCAGCGCATCTCCAGTCTTTCCAGGGCAGCGTTTCCTCCTGCCCCAACACGGGCACCCCACCAGCACGCCTTCGGGAGGCACAGTACAGCCGTATTCAAGAGCTCAAGAACGCACACAAACACAACGTTAACGGGTGTCCCCAGTACCAAGTCATGTGATAGTGACAGGATAAATATGGAAAACAACCATTTATTCTGAAAATAAGTGCAATCCACCTGTGACCTTCTGCTACATTATTTAACATAATAGAAGTGGGGTTTAGGCCGCTGTTACTTGCAAACCTCCACATAACAGTTTATAGTTAAGAGCTGGACATTCATACTTACTAAGTCTGAAAACTGTTATAACATTTCCTAATGATTAAATACTGTGTGCTATTATGCATAAACCAGAAGGAATAAAACATGACACAAGCCACTTAAACTATGCAAAGTTATTTACAACCTCTGTCAACTGAACATTTTTGGCTCTTAGAACTCTGTTCTTCAGTGGCACGATTTTTAGTCAATTTAATTATGAAAAAGTCTACCGTTTCAATGAGTAACTTGTAAGGAGTGGAAATTTAAGTATAATTTATCAACCAACACCCAACCTCTGAAGACAACAGTATGGCCTCTTCCATATCGTTTTAATTGCCTAATAAACCCAAAATAACGATGAGATAAAATAACCTTTTTGCTGTTCTTTGAACAGCACTTCCTCACAAGTCCCTGAAGTCAGTCTGCATCACATGCAACCAGCATGCTAATTTCACTGAAACACAGAGCTGTTCACATCAGACGCTCCAACTTTGCGCTCAGCAACAGCCTCCCACAGCTTCCAGTCTCACGTCGAACAGCAAAGTGCTATCTGTTGCACTTTGCCTAGGTCCGTTATAAGCTGCTTTATACAATGTTTGAGTTGGGGGAGTCGAGCTAGTGGTTCTGGTGGTTCCAGCTCTCCTGTATAATCCAGCCAGCTCTCCAAAACTGCAAAGGAAAACAACACTGTTACTACTCCAGTTCTCGGCAAATAGAACACCTTCAGTCACAAAACAGGAATTCAATAAATCAGCTGCGAACCTTGAGAGCGCAGCAGGCAATATTTTAACACGTGGTATTTGAGAAATCAGAAGGCCAGGCTCCTCACACTAATCTTTGCATAAAAAAAAGTAGATGTTCTAAGGAGAAAGCAGGGAATGAAAACTCAGGGCTAGATACTGTGAAATCTGGTGCTAAGCTTCCTCTGATCTGTATCAACTCCAGAGCAGGGACACTGTGGTACAGGACGTTTACACCATCAGGATACACATCAGCATTAAATGCAACTACACAGTATTTTCACTGGAGATCCTAAAAGGATGGGACTATGCTGTTGAAAGAAGTTTGTCCTCAACGCAGAACACAACTGGCCAAGACAGAAGGAACTGAGTAACAGAAAATGGGGATGAAATGCAAAAGCACAGACAGCCGACTACTGCACAAAGAAAACGAATCCCTGCTCTAAAGCTTCTCACTGGGAAACGAGAACCAGACATACTACTGACAAAAGACAACCTCATACGACCACGAGGAAGGCAGTCACCCTGAACTACGATGAGTTCGGGGGACAGGACACTATCGTGGAAGGAGACTGAAACCCTGAAGACAGACTACATCTGCCAAGAGAAGCTGCAGAGGCCACTGCCACTAACTAGATCACCGGCTAGTTTAACCTAAGAGCAAGTTCTGTTGAAGAACTAGTGGGCATTACCCAACTACCAACGGATCCAGCCTTGAAATAAGAGAATTCCTCAGAGGAGCAATGCTCTGAGCCGCCCTCCAGCTCAGCAGCAGATACAAAAAGCCTAAGTTTTGTGAACAAGAGCTTCTTCATTTATGAAATAGGCGTTGTGATCACAGGCCTGACTGATCTTCATTACCTGAAATATTCCTTTAGTTGTTCAACTCTTCAGTACCTTACTGAACTACAAAAAGAGGACTCTACTTTGGCAAAGGTTAGATTCCCAACACTCTCGCAGGAAGAGTTCCTGCTGTAACCACTATACAACCGATGGTCAGACTTAATGTTATGTTAAGAAAAAGAACTATCCTGGATGATTTAATGTAACACAAAGGGTTTAGAAGTTTTCCATTACTAAGAAAACAAATTTCAAGAAACATTTAAGTAAAGAATTTGGAAGAGATAGGAAAAGGTAAGAGCCTTGTGCACCACAGAGGCCACCTAGAATAGGCTGAAACAGCAAAGAGACATGGAAGATATTCTACTACACTGGGCAAGTTCTTAGAGGTGATCTAACTAGAACTCTTTCTACAAAATTCTGCTCACTTTTAATTTGTCTTTGGTTTTAAAATCAGCCACTCCCCCAACAGCAGCAGCCAGTCCATCTTCTATTCATAAATGCAGTAAATCTGACAAAGCAATTCTAATCTCTTCGTAGGTCCACAGAAGTAAAATTCAAGTTGATGTGTTTTGAACAGGTAGTTCAGTCAAATATAGCCAATTTTTGAAATAGAAAAATGTTACTTACCATCTAGCTCCTTCTCAATGCAATCCATTCTGTGTATGACTTCATCTTGCAGAGACTCCACGTGAGCTAACAGATTCAGCTGCCACTGCAGCTGCGAGTTCACAACTCCTTCTTTGTCTTTTTCCAGCAATTTCATTTCAATAGCTTCCTCTGGAGAGACTTTCTTAGAGACAGACTCTCTTACCTAGCAGAAATACATACATTAATATTTATTACACTGAAACAGAATTGGTGAGCCAGACTGTCTGGGTCCTTACAGTTACCCAAGCTAATAACTCAACTAACATTGGGCTGGTAGAGGACAGAGACACACAGGGAAGGCATTGTACACAAGTATCAGGACAGTTTGGTCAAGAGGATCTAAATACAGATAGGCTTTTACAGGTATTTTGCTAAGCTCTGTTCTTTGCACTGCACGAGCATCTGGTTTTCAGAAGGTAACATATACACACACAGCGAGCTCCCTGCCAGCCCCAGCTGGAAGCTACTGCACTGCCGCCGTGCGCCCTGCGGAAGGGTAACGCCACTTGTAACACGACAGAAACCAGCTACAGAGCAAATGACCTTGCTGTATGTCTCCCAGAAAGGCACGTACTTCAGTTCTTCAGCCTTTCAAGAGCCTTTGTCTAAAGCCTGTCGTATTTCAGCAGAATGATGGAAAAAGTAGGGGAGTAGAGTGAACGCTGCTGATAGTGTGGTCAAGTTTTACAGATGGTGGTAATTTTTTTTTTTCCCCCAATGCTTTGACGGAAGTTTTAGTAGAATTGATATTAGATTTGTTCAGGAAAAAATCCTTTCTCACTGCAATCTCAACTGATTCGACAGAGAAATTAAAAAACAAAAATTACAGCTTACGTATGCATGAAATATAAGAAACAATCTTTTAAGCTAAAAATTGGAGGTCAGTATTTCCCAGAGGCTTTCTGACATTTGTCAGGCCATCTTTCACATGATTTGGTACTACCTAATCAAAGCAAAATTTTTTCCATTGGGGTGTAGAAAAAAAGGCCTCCGATAGACCTGACAGAGCAGAAAACGAGAACCAAGAGCTCAGAAGATAAAACTAGAGTGCTCCAGAAGGAAGAAGATACAGGACCATCCAATGGTGATCAGCCTGAAATGTCGGTTCAGGCTCCTACCTCACCCCCCGAAATGCTGCCTGAAGGACCTGGAATCAATTTAGTTCATGTAACTATTAAAAGAAACATGGGAACAGGTTGGAAATAACTAAAAGCTGCAACACCAGTGCATGTGGTAGTACGGTACGTGCTTTTCCTGTTCTCTATCCTGTTGCTAGTGTTTATTTTTACGTTTAACACGTACAGAAGGAGGAAGCATCTAACTGCCAGCAGACCATAACGCACGTTCCACAGACTGTGCAGGTGACCCAAGGTCCAGGAGTCCTTCCTCAACCTATATATTTTTTATGATTATTTGAAACAGAAGAGTTGATCATGTCTACTATTTTAGTTCGTACTGGCAACTTAACAGTATAGGAAAGAACTAAACACTAATAAACTAATGAAACATTACTAAAAAGAGCTGAGTTTTCCACTTTGCCAGGCAAACACATCCTCTATGCAGAGAGGGTTATTTTAATATAAATACCTTAGAGTAATTGTGTTTGGATTCATTTTCCATCTTACATATTTCTCGGTCCAGATTCCAGCCAAATCTCTCGGACAGGCCATCATCCCCGTTTTCCCTTATTCTATTTACTCCGTCATCCACGGCTGAACCTCTTGTTTCCACAACCAATCTCTGCTCTATCGCAGGGTAGTAGGCCCGCGGCTTCTGGTAACAGTGTTCACTTGTAATGTAAGATTCCTCCACAGAAGGCATGGCTGAGGGTTTCTCAACTGTCCCATTCCAAGTTCTATAACTTGCCGCCTCCTCTTGGCAACAGTTTTCCTCAATGTGAATGATGTGTTTTGTATGAATCTTTTCATCCACCGTAATGTGCTTCCATGGATGGCACCAAAGCTTTAGGTCAGGATGTTCTTTATTTCTGTTCAAACATTAAAAAAAAAAAGTAAAACACTCATCAAATTTAAACTTCAAAGTAACTGAGCAAACTACCCTATTATGTAAAGAAATTAAGTAAGAATATTTGAACTACTACACGCTTTAGTCATTGTAATCACTAAAAAAACACCCAAATATTCTGAAATAATATAATTTCACTGACCTCAATTGTGCACCCTCCTACAGTGTTCTGTTAGATTCACTATTTTAATTTCTCTAACATGGTATATAAGCCAAGTGTTGGCATTACGAAAAAAATCGAGGAACAAGTTTCAAATAGATACACACAACTTTTCACTGCTGTTGCCCTTGAAGAAGCATTTTGCTTCGATACTTGCAATTTATTAACAGTACAATCTCATTTTCACTGGGGTATTTTTAGTAGTATTTTAAACAGGTAAGTTGAGTATATTGATGCTAAACTAAGATATTAACAATTTTAAACACCAGTAAAATAAAAAGACCCCCTCAAACAACTCAGTATCAAACTTTAGCCCGTAGTTCCCCAAAATAAACTTTAAAAATCAATCCACTGATCTTTTCTAACCCTCTAATAAAAACAACAATTAGGTACTTGCAGAGGGGGTGGGGGAGTGGTGCAGAACTTCTTTATTATTTCCCTCAAAACTTAAACTTCCCTTTAAACCCCACGATGCTGAGCAAACTCTGCTGCCTGGTACACCAACATGCCATCGTCCCCCTACCTGCTTCTTACAAAACCTCTTCTTTTAATTGTTTGCAAATTGACTAATAGGTTGCTTCTTCCAGCAGCAGGGACAGCTACAGGTATCAGACACTCCCACAGATATAACAAACAAACAAACAAAGAAATCAGAGTGAGCACTGTAACTGATGCTGCTCTCCCACGTCTCTGTCAGGCATTAAACCAGCAGTGAGAAGGAGAGCAGAGCAGAACCAGCGTGCTCACCTCCAACGGGCAGGCAGCCGAGCTGCCGCTACAAGAACACGGGAAAAGCCAGTCCTAAGGAACCTGCGCTCAGCTGCCCGGGAAGGAAGGGGCCTGCCCCAAACCCCACTCTGTGCCTCCCGCCAAAGGCAGACGGATTTATGCCATTAAGCTCACCCAGCTGCTCGTCAAACCACTCCACAAAACAAGACTATTGTACTTCCAAAGCCACTGCTTTCTAACCCATTCTACAGTAATTCAGGCTTCTTCAGTGTCTGTCAGAGGAAACCACAGCTCGCGCAGCTGCCAGGGCCTTGCTCAGCCGCTTCACACAAGTGCTCCTGCCTCGAGGGGCTGCACGGCCGATACCCCTGGTGAGCAGCCCCGCCTAGGAAAGTGATAGCCAAGTATTCACTTACCGGAGCTTTCTCCTCCAGCTCCACCGATACCCTACACCTAAAGGCACTACTCTGCTCAACAAAGAGCAAAGGGTAACTTTACAGCAGACGGAAAACTGACAGATGAAGCACCAGCTACATAAGGATGAAAAAAATTTGAACACTTAATACTTGAACAACCTTAACTATTACCTTCTGCAGGCTGACTCCCTCCCACTGCACCGAAGCTGTCAACATCACCTCTGACCTTTTGCCATCTCCTTGAAATAGAGCAACACCCTACTAACAATTCCGGGCAGCTGTCAAGTCATCCCCCCTCCCCGAGGTGGTAGATCTGCATCAACAATATAATCATTCCTCGAGTTCAGCAATTTTAAAAATCCTTTGATTTATGTAATGATAAAGAAAACAGAGGCTACAGCTTTTAACAAGATGGCCCTAACAAGACCACACCTCATCTTTAATTAAAGCAGGTCATCACACCGACTTCAGAACAGGAGAGCAAAGGAACAAAGTCTGTGACAGGCATCACACACTTGCCCAGTGCTCCATAACTTCATGCTATGCAAATCCCAGTTCACCCTACAACTGGAAAGTCACAATCTAAAGCCTTGCTATTTAAGGAAAGGCTTAAGGGGTGGTCTTACAGTACTTATGTTCCACCCTCTCCAAAGAGGAACGAGATTACTTACAGATCTGACTACAGGACACCATACTGGACAGAACTGCTACTCCTGTGCTTTACTCTTCATTCCACTGTTTAAGCATTTCAGGTACTGCCAGTGCCCCCACTGCACCACCACAGACTAAACTGGAAAGCAAAGCTTCTAGTGTTTCCAGCGTTCTTAGAACTTTTTCTCTTCAGATAGCTGCTGCTGTGCAATTTATCAACTAACAAATTATAAATATGGAATTCAATGCATTTAAAACTGCTGGATTTCAGATAGAAAATATTATTTCTGTCATCAGAACCCAAGGATGACTTTAAACAGGAAAGGATGCAGAAAACTTGATTTCTACAGTCATCACAGAATATTTTATTTCTTCATATACATAACTGTAATAATCTTTGCATGGAAATGAATTGCTACAGGTAGCTGAAGGTGCAGCTGCTCTCCCACTACAACAGAGCAATACTTTATGCCAAACAAAAAGATTTCATTTCTGCTGGAGAAGTTATGATTTAGAATTACTGGAATGGAGAAGGCAAGTGTTATAAGAATGCTGCCATAGGTTATACACCTATCCTCTTCTTGCTACTTAAACCAATTTAGGTGCTTTAGGAGAAGCTGTTGTTACTTGTTTTCTCCCTCTCTCCTTCATACTTTCCCAACCCTTCTATACACAGTCAATTTACACTACCCAATACACTTAAATAGCTTTTAAACAGCTAAGTCCTTTTCCAAGATCACATCAGCAATTCAAACTATGTTGTTATATAACCACAAAGAAGCACAAAAGTTAAGTCTCAGTTTCTGGTTATTCTTCTACTGTTTGAAATCTTATTCACGTTAAGAACATGCCAACTAATACTTAAATACTGCTTACTGTAATATGCTCATCTTCAGCTGCAGTCCATGCAGTACTTCTATCACTCTCTGTACATCGCCAAGAAGCTGGTGAGTGGCTACTATCTTCTTGGCATTCTGGTGGGAATAATTTTCTTCCAAAAATGCTAAGCCGTGCATGTGACCATTACTTAACCACTCCTTCTCATACCAGTACTTTAAGCTGGACCTCTGACCTAAAGCAATAGTAACGAGTGTGTTAAAATGAAGCATTAACTATGACATGTTAACATTATTTGCAGTAGTTCCAATTATCTCAAAGTCTTACAACAGCTTATTTTTCTTATTAACAGTACCAATAAAGATCCTACAGCAGCACACAAAACCCTGAAGACATCAACAACTTGTGAAGTGGGAAGTGAGATGATAACCTCAGTCAAAACCTCTGTCCAACTGTAAAAGCATTCAGACTCCAAATTCCACCAAAGGACATCCACAGCGTGTAACTGCAGCTGATGCACAGAGAAAAGTGTATTTTTAGCAAGGTATCACACTGTCTAGTAACTATGGTTATAACTAAAGCTAGTTGGAATACAGCTCTGCAGACAGAAAAATGCAGCAAAAGGCAGTGAACTTCCCTTCTCCAGTGGTCTTGTTTTTAAATATCATACATGTATTAGTAGTCATTCAAAAGTAAATTTTAAAGCAATCAATGATGAGGTTCTGATGGAGAACTTGCTTAAGTCAAGCTAAAATTAGCATTATTAATAGCCTTAGAGGTTGGAATATCAACAACAGCTGAAACAAAATTATATTAAACTTGACAAATGCACCAGTAAAAGTAACTTAAGAAGCCAAGCACAATGGTATTAGCAGGAAAGACTGGAACTCAAGATGCTTCCTCAGTTGCAAAAATAAAAAAATCGCCAAAAAGCCACAGCACAGCAAAAGCCCCCCCGCTCCCCGTGAAAGGTGGTGTTACACCAGCGGCGCTCAGCAGCCAGCTCGGCGCCCGGAGAAACGCCGGCCCACACACAGCCCGGCAGCGAACCCACACAATCAGGTAACATTGGAGCACGTACTCAGAACGACAGCCACGAGTCTCCAATATAAGCAAGTTATATTGACTAGAAGTTTCAGCAGTTAAGAAGCTAAAAACAAAAGAAAACACCCCAGAGCTCCTAGGCAGCAGAGTAAGAGCAGGGGCGGCATTACAAGCGTACCGATTAACTGCGGCACAGCGAGGCAAGCCAGCCCCCTGGCATCCATACCGAGAAGCCAGCAGCACGCGGCCACAGGTATTTCATATGCTGCTGGATGGCAGAATGGTTTCTGTGTCATGCCTGATATGAACATCCGTGAACATAAAGGACACTTCCAAACTTAAATTCAATAGCAATGCTTTGTCCCAGTGAAGCAGTAAAAGCCACCAAGGGTGCTCGTAAGCACCCTCAGCCCTAGGCTGCGAGGGCAATACTCAGTGTTTTGAGGCAAGACCTCCAAAACTCTCAAACAGAAACGAACACAGGGAAAAACAAATTTTCAAGGCTCTAACAGCTCAACTTTTCAGGCAGATACACAGGATCAAGCAAGAGATCTTCTAGGTAGGGCCAGACCCACTTTGGACACATTCCCGACATACTTGTATTAACCCCTAAGCATTTATTTTTGTATTAGAGAAGCTGCTATTTATGTCAGAAAACGAAGTTCAGTCCACAAGAACAATGAGTTTTAGAACTCCATGGTCACTTCACAACACTGAGATGATGCAGCTGAAGCCCGTCCATGGCATTGCTTGCGTAGCTGTGTACTCAAGAGACAAACAACGCTCAGTTTCTAGCAGCATTAAGCTTAAGAGAAGACGCAAGACAATACCCAACAACGTACGCTCTCTGTGGCTTAAATGAATCTGCACATCATAAGCATCTTGATAACACTTAAGCAAGGGTAAACATTATTAAATCTCCTAAAAATCCCACTTGATTAAAAAGACTGTCTAAAATGACAGCTGGTACAGTTTTTAGGCATAGGGACACTATGCTTGCTGCTATTTCCAATGGTACGAATGGTGCTGTTACAAGTCCCAGCACTAAACCAGGGAAAGCTCCTGAAGAAGTCTGCTGAGTGGCCATGCCCAGCTTTACAAGAACTTCTTGGCAGATTCATGAAGCCTGTTTAGCTCACTTCAAGCCAACAGCAGATTCGCTGAAATTGAGAAGCCACTTTTGCAGTCAGAAAGTTGGGTACGTTATCCTTTTCCACGACAGACGTAAAAATTTAGGTGTGTGTCCCCCCAAAATCTAAGTTCCAGGATCTTCCAGGCAGTAGTTAAAAGCGATTAAGATAATGAAGCAAATGAAGTGTTAGTTTTAAGCATTCTGATAGAGTTTCTTACTAAACAAATAGTTCAAGCATGATGGCAACAACTTCAGTTCGCATATGCACTTCTGTTGAGTTTAAAACGAACTGAAATTGACACAAATCAAAGTAAAATATCTTGAAAACAGAGGGTTAAAATCCTGAATGAAAGACACTGTTAAAGAAACCACTTCAATAAATGTTAAACTACTTTACTACTTACTGAACGTAAGCATGGCATGTCTTCCTTGCTATGAGTACGAACAACATTTAGCATACAAACTACGCAAATCAATGAGTTAAGCCATCAAAGACTTGCTAGTTTTAAACAGTCAAAAAAAGCAGAGGTCACAATCCAATTAAGTATATAAACCAAGAAAGTTCTTGTGATTAGGCAGAGATCCCATTTTTTCATAGTTTATGAACACGGGCTCAAGCTCGAACCTCAGCCATTTGCCCATTCAGCAAGGCTTCATAATTCATGGAGTAGCAATGGAGCTTTATAATTCATGGAGCAGACAAGATCCACGCAATTGTATTTTTACCTGCTGCATAAGATGGACTAAGACATTTTCAAAAACATAGTCTGGAGTAGAGAACATCTTGCTTAATCAGCTCTAACTGCTTTACCCAGGAAATTTGTATTTATGCACATGGATTGCAAGCGCCCTTCCATAACAAGCCCCAGCACACCACGGCTGCGAGAAGCAGCGAGCCTCGTGCTGACTGGTTTCAAAGTGTCTGTAACCCCGGTCTTGCTGGAGGAAAGCTGCACTCACAGCCTGTAAGATGTGCCCACGGGGAGTCTGTGCTTACGTGTGCTGAGCACTTCTAAATTCATCTTCCACAGCCAGACAGTACGTATGGTATGTATGTGAGAGATGGTCATCACAGTTAAAACATGAATTTCCATTCCTGTCCAGCTGTAATTCCACAATATTGACTTGTGTACATTCACATAAATTAAACTTTCTGTATCTATAACTGCACTCAATTACCTACGACGACAGACACAGCTAGGGGAGCAAAAAAAAGTTTAATCTTTGCAATATATATATAAACTAATAAAGTTACTACATACATAAGAAGGCTCTGTAACCTTAAATTTCTGTACCTGGAGGATCTTGGCAAACATAGCAGGTATATTTCTCAGGTACATTATCTTCCAGTAAACCCATACAGACGCCATGCTGCCAGCACAGACATTCTTCACACTGTTCAAAGTCAAGAAGTGCACATCAACAGAAACGAAGCCTACAGAGGCTCAGTAAGATTACCTCAATTAAGAGACACATCATCTACATATTTTAAGACAAAAATGTGAATTAATACCACCATGTGAACCCTTCCCACACATTTTTCACATGGATTTCTACAGAACGACAACAATCATGAAGTGGAAGCTGAGATCCTGAAAGGTGCAAAGATGTTCCCTTGGGGGATGAAAATCTTCCACAAGATGCACGCCCACACAATCATGACAGAACACAGTATGCAATCAAGCTTTCTTTAGCAAAATACATCAAGCTTTCCGAATTCAAAGTTTTCGTCCTCAAACAGTACATCACACTAAATTATAAAACCCAACAGATATTTATGTCTATAGGACCAGCTGATATTATGCTTTACTGGTATTTGTCTAACATTTTAATTATTTCAAAGCAGCTCTACTAATATAAAGCGCAGATGCAGTTGTATGAGCTTTTAAAACTTCTGACATCCTTCCAAGTGTGAGCAATCGCATTGGCAAAGACTGAATACAATGTGGCCCTATTTTTTGAGTGTAGTCATGCTATTTAAAATGCAATCACTGTACTTCAAGCCACACAGTTTTAGAGCAGGAAAAACTATATCTGCATGTTCTGTTTCAGTCACTTCTCCCCCTCGCCCCTCCCTTTACCAAGCAGACAAAACTTCCAACTGCAGCCTAAAGACCACCGGAACAGGGGACAAAACCCCACATGAGAATATGAAGTCAGTTTTGATTTGAAACTGTGCTGGCAGCTCCGAAATACTATTTTCACAAGCAGTGACACAATAGATTGCAACCTTTATTTCTCGGAGCACAAGGCAAAAGCTGAATGCAGAGATCTTGGCAATACTGGGAAAGGTTTTCAAACTGAGCTGAAGACAAACCCAAACAGCAACTGCAAGCCATCTTGGACACTGCTCTTCACTGATCTACAGAGACACCAGCCCGATAAACATCCCATCTGTGTAGAACACCACTTACACCACTTTAATTAATGCTGCTCTTCTCTGCTGCTTTTTCTCAAGCTAGGGGAGACAGAAAAGGACCACCAGATTTTTAAATCCATCGTTGTATTAAACTAGTGGTCTAGGTCTGGAGGAAATGGAAGCGCTGGGAATGGAGAATGTAAAAGGTAAAAGAGAAACAGGTTTCTGAAAGAGGGCGCTAACAATGTTTTGCCTTACAAAATGGGTAAACAGTCCTAAAGCAATAAGGAGATGTTTTCAAAAAAGGCTGAGAGACCATCCTCCTTTCACAAAGATGCTTACTAGGAGCCAGAAAAAGGTGTCCTAAAAGGAAGAAAACATCTGCTAAAACAGACTGCTAAAAATAAGCAGGGAGCTCCTGGACCTAGTTACACTTGCGTCGCGCCATACAGCACAGAGCTACACTCAGCGATCCTTCCAGGCCCAGAACTCTCATGAAGCATCCCAACTTCTTTTATTTTACTCCAATGGTATTCAAACACCCACCCCATCAGGGCACAGGTCCTTCCCTTTAGCTGTGCGTTCTACTTCACAGCTGGGCTGGTCAGGACAGGCAGTTGCTCGGGACACAGGCTACGCAGAAGCGACCCCCTGCCCAGGCAGTAGTAGGGAGATTCAAAGCAAGCCAAATGAGAGATTTTGAAGAGGAAAAACATGCAGAGTTGTGCAGTAATATATAAATCAAAGTTCAGCTGTGAAAGAAATTACCAAACACAATGGACACGTATTTGAAGCAGCTTTTCATCTATCAGAACAGAAATACCCCAAGTGCCCTCACATCCATCACCTCTAAGGCCACCAAATCCAGCCCCAGAATTCTCTACTTCACACACAAATTCACCAATGTTTCGGTATAAAAATCAGGAGGGACAATGACATTTTGTCTGGGCTCTCCTGGGCCCAAACCGCACCCTGCAGAGGGGGAAGGTCCTGTGCCTTCAGCAGTAACACACGGCAATGCTAAGCTACTACTTCACGCAGGCTCAATAAATGAAATCCAGGAACCTCCTTGCAAAGTCATAGAGACTGGGATGAAACAACATCAGACAATGATATGTTATTTTATAGACTTTTTTTCAGTTTTAACTTCCACTAACTGATCTAGGTACTTAACTTTAAACGCAAAATCACATTTCTGTATCCTGGTGTAATAAACAGTACTCTTTATGCACATACTGCTTGAGACATTTTAAGGCATGTTCAAGATAAAGGAAGAGGTTTTTTTGCAAAGTCTCTAAGCTAAATTTTTTGAGGGTTTTATTATTAGAGACCTAAATGGAACAAACTCTCAGTTTAACTGTGTAAGAGTTTCATTAAACTTTAACGGTCCCTGACCTTTCAGGAAAAATAAAGGTGCTGCTTGTTTTTAAAATTAACATTTTTTCCTCATTATTTCTAAATTTGGTACAGGCATGGAAATGGGCACAGTTCAAAGAGAAACTGACTTGCCATCCTCCCTCGTGTAAGCAGGCACCGTACACGTATCCCGGGAGGAATGAACCTCCAGTCACACACACGGAGAAGCTGCCCTGGCTCCTAATTCCAATACCAAGCCAAGGCAGACTGGCACACAGGCAGGTGCTCAAGCAAGTACCCCAAGTGCCAGGGTATTTCAGTCAGATCTCAGGGAAATAAGCAGGGACAGACTAAACACCCCCATGGAGACAAGTGCAAAGCATGACAACATTCTTCTGAAAACCCATGCACTGCGCAAAACTACCTGTCTCCAGGAAGAGAGGGCAAGTCTAAATGCAAGTTCTTTGAGGTGGACACTTCCAAATTTGAGTTTCCAAGTGTCAAGTCCAAGTAGGAAATAGGGAATAAATCTTTCCTCTCTATAAAGTTATGAAAGCTACACAGGATTCTCACTCTGTGAAGTCAAAGGAAAGCGTCAATCTCAGCACTACACATCTGAAAAGCTGAAAATAGCTCCCCCTTGTCATAATTCCATAGTTGTATAACACAGCATCTTTGCTATGTATTAATGCTCTGTACTTGAAGAGCTAACTGAGCCATTTCTACACTAGCAACAGAAGAGCAGACTGTTCACAACGTCTTCCCAAAAACCACAGGCTGACAGAAAGCTGTGAGGAGCACAGCATTTGGTACCTTAAGCAAACCATCTGCCTATCCCTAACCCCAAAATCTTGTTACCTCCTTGCTTCCTAATTCCTATTGCTTCAATCCCCATAACGAATGCAGCTACACACCACACTGTCGACATGCATCTCTTTTCCAGAGAGAACAACCTGCTCTCCTGCACAATTCTCTGACAACACAGTTAAAGTGTTTATAACTTTGCAATATATTCAAAAAGACCCCAAGCTAGTTCAACCTAGAAAACTGCTCTCAGGAGCAGCCCACAAAACCTCCCATGAGGGCTATCCATAGACTACTTCCTAAGCTAGCTGCCAGCTCTCTGCGTTCTGCAGTCACAGACCAGTGTTGAGCCCACACGTGCCAGAAAATTCTACTCCAGATGACCCCTTTGTGTTTCCCACCAAGCCACCTCTGCAGCAGGCAGCCAGCCCCTTTCTCCCCAGCTGTCCAGACTCCTTTCCCCCTGTCCACTCAGACACTATTTATCTCCTTTTGACCACTGCCTATCACTGCACCCTGTCCTGTGTTGTGAGGATCCACCACTAATACAGAGGCGTTGATAAAATGATCTCAGCACTAAGAAAAAGTGTCATACCTTCCAGAACAAATCTCCATAAAATAGTATGGAAGGACAAAGAAAACTACCCAGTGAAGTTAGCTGTTAAACTCAACCACTGGGGGTAAAAATCAAACCTAGCTGTGTTAGCTGGCTCTATTAAAAATTTTTAAAATTGGGCTGTTGATGTTCGGAGAAGAATTCTTCATTCTACAAGTTAAACAGTGCGCCTCCTCTTCTCCTGAACAGGTTTCTGCCTCCATTCAAGCAGTAAGTCCACCAAAAAAAATCATCAGAGGCTGTGAGGTACGTATAGATCAACCTCTGCCTTTCCTCCTAGTTCCAAGCAGCAAAAAAAACCCAAACAATGCTTCACAGTGACATGCCTGCAACTACCCCACTAAGGGGTCCCATAACTAGGATTCGAACCTTGCAGCAAGCAGCAGCAGAATGCCTGGGAAAGGGAGTTCAAAAGCTGCAGATGGGGGTGAGCTTCGTGTGCCAGAAAAATATTTCTGAAGGCAGCGTCATGCCACATCCTTTCACAAATAAAACTCCCTTCTCAAAAGAATGCGGTAATTACCTCAAAATTTGCAATGAGCACAGCTGCCAAGCTATACTACTGTCACTTTGAACTGAGGACCCACAACAAGCAAAACATTATCTAAATAGAAAGGGTGGGAGCCTCCTAAAAAAAAACCAAAACAACAAACCCTAATTTCTGCAGAAGGGCAGCTATGAAAAGCTCATGATCTAGGTTCAAGAGCATCAAACACTGAAGTCCCTACATTCGCTTCCTCTAAGTTGCAGGGGCAATTTCCATAGGGTACCACACTGCTCACGTAAGAAGCACTGGCAAAATGAACTAGAGCAAAACATGCTGAAGAAGTTCTTCATTTAATACGCTTGACTTCACTGTCTGAAATTAACAGGAACTCGGTGGAATGGCTCAGAGCAGCGATGGGGGCAACGGTTTCCTGGTAACTCACAAACATCTCAGGAAGTAAAAGCAAAGAGCCAGGGCAGTTCCAGGGAGGGTTTTATCAACAGTTTTAAACAGGAGAGAAAATAGACACTGCTCTGGCTGAAAACAGTTTTCTGTAAAGTTCATTTGAAAAGAGTAGATATACAGAGAACGGACAGATGGTCTTATTCAAATTAAGAACTCTGAATCTAAAAAGTACAGAAGCAGCTGTGGAATGGAGGAATGCAGCTCTGCTGCAAAACAGGGTGAAGAAAAGAGAGCACGACTTGAGTCTTCTATCTAGAGGATGGTATGTTTAAGTCAAGCTTCTTGCCAGGGCAGAGAAGTGGAAGGGTACCACCATCTCATGGCAATGTTCTGAACATGCTCAGAATTGGAGGGAAGCAAAAAACAACAGCTAAAAAGGTCCTGATTTTAAATATGTATTCTCTAAACCTAGGAAGTGTTCGAATTTTTAGAAAAACGCAAATCCCCAAGTGGCAAGCCAACCATTAATGGCTTGTAAAGAACTGCCCCTCATCCCCAGTTTCCTTTCATTAAAGAAAACAAACTGGAGATTTCTGACAAACTGTATCAAAAAGCAAAGTTTTCCACCTATCATAGCAGCTGTTCACCCTGACAGGTTATCTTCAACAATTTCATGACTTCAGAGAACAGTAGTTTATTTCATGTACAGAACATACCTGTATCTACAATAGCTTTTCCACTGACACCTTCCACTGCATTCCCCCTCCACTTCATACCTGAATCATGAAGTCATTTTCTTCTTTTACTTCACAAACACACCGAACAATCTCAAAATCACTTTCTTCAACTTCTTCATCAGGGTTCATGGTTACATCAACATCCTGACTGCCGTCGTCATCGCTCCAAAGCAAGCTATCCATAGACGATTCACTCAGGGTGTCATCCTCTGTACAAAAAGCAGCTGGATGAAGTCTCCAGTATTTACAAAAAGGCCAAACAACTCTCAAGATCTATCCCGAGTATGCAGACACACATTTCTAAAAGCAAGAGTTCACGGTGTAATTTAAGGAACATCACAACATCACTACATTATGTAGTAACCTTCAATAAACAGCAAGTTTACTGAAGGTTATTACATAATGAAATTTTATATTCTCCTTAATAGCTCCTTCGAAATATTCCAACTTAACAGCTTCTGTCATTAAAATCATACTCTCAACATACAGCGCCTTGAACCAAAGGCACAAAGTCTCCTTAGACACACAAGTATAATAAACAAAACCAGATTTCTAAACTCAAGTACAATTCACACTAGCTTCTCCAATTTGTATAGAATTCTGCCTTGGTACTTCATGTGCAGAGCTCCCAAAGAGTGACAGGAGGATTCTGTCTTATGAGCCATTCCATCTCACAAAGTAACATCTCCACTACAGAAGCATTCAGAGTCCAACACAGAATTTAATCCTGCTTTAGAAACGATTATTTTCACTTGGACTCCTGTTGAGGACACATTTATCAAGTCAGAGGCAGTGCACTGCCCAAGGTATTCTTTCAGAATGCTCCCGTGCTACCTGAAGCATTACCGAATCTCTGCGGATTGAATACAACTGCCAAGAAAATCCTCACTGAACAACACGCTAAACTGAGATGCTCACCTCACCAATGGCCTCAAGCTGCATCAGGGGAGGTTCAGATTGGATATTAGGAAAAAATTTGCTACTGAAAATGTGGTCAGGCCTTGGCCCAGGCTGCCCAGGGCAGGGGGGGAGTCCCCATCCCTGGAAGGGTTCAAACACCGTGGGGATGTGGCACTTGGGGACGTGGTTTAGCAGGCGTGGGGGTGTTGGGGTGACGGTTGGACCTGACGATCTTAGAGGGCTTTTCCAACCTTAACGATTCCATCATTCTAATATTAATGCAATGTCTACGCCTTCCTTGGGGACAGGATGAGAGGGTCAGAGGGAGAAGATAAGGATTGTAATTATTTGGGAAATACTCTAATGAGCTGGAGGAGAGTGGAAGGTAAAAACTTTAGTCACTCTTAGCTGGACTGTGGTCTCTCTCACCTATACGGGGTAGAACTACTTTGATGATTTAGCCCCCATAACAAGACTGTCGAAACAGAAGAACTGGTCTGTGGTACAAACTAGATCTTTTGGAGAAACATCTGTTCTCAAATTTAAGGGGCTAAGAAGCCAATGTATCTTTTTCATGCTTAAAAGTTTTATCCCACCTCTGAGATACA